GGAGGGGGGGTGATGGAGCAGGAGGAGGAGGATGAGGAGGAGGAGGCGGAGGAGGAGGAGGGGGAGGAGGGGGAGGAGGAGGAGGAGGAGAGGAGGAGGAGGAGGGAGGAGGGCAGGAGGAGGAGGGGGAGGAGGGGGAGGAGGAGGAGGAGGAGGAGGAGGAGGAGGAGGAGGAGGAGGGATAATGGGCATCTGCTCCTCCTCTGCCCTTCCCCGCCCAGGCGCGCAGCGCCGGATCCACGGCGGCGCGGAAGCCGTACGTGTGGGCGGCGGCCTGCGGGCCGAAGTGGTCCTCACGCCCGCGCGCCCCGCGGCGCGGGCGTCCCCTCCTCTTCCGCCACCACCTCCACTTCCAGCTCCTCCTCCTCCTCCTCCTCAGAATCAAAAGACGGCTCCCCCCCCCCCTCCCTCCTCCTCCTCGAAGCCCTCCCTCCCTTCCTCGCCACCCCACCTCCCCTCCTTTCCGCCCTCCCTCCTCCCCCTCCCCTCATCTCACCCCACCTCCCCTCCTCCACCTCCCCTGCCCCCCCTCCCTCCTCCCCTCCGCCACCTCCTCCCCCTTCCCTCTACTGGCGAACTGGCGAGCCACAATCACTCGTGCACAACTGCGATTAAACAGGCGAAGCATGGGGAGCACGCCACCCGGACTTGGCTTCTGAGCCATGCGCATAGGACAGAGGACAGGCTAGCGGCAACTTGCTAACCTGGTTAGCCCAAGTAGGCTAAGTGGATACCCCAGTGAGGCGAAGCTGGATAGCCAACACAGGATAACCTATCTAGCAAGCTACTTAGATAACATACTCATGTGAGCGCAGTCTAACCAGTGCACCAACGCGCTAACCGAGAGCAGAGCAGCGCGACGATTGCAGCAAAGGGTAGGACCGCAAAAGGGCGGGACAAAGACTCAGCTCACGCGGCGGGTCCGCCCGGCGCCTCCCGGCGGCGGGAGGAGCCCAGGCATCGAGGAGCGGGCCCGGCGGGCCTGGCGGCAGGCGCAGACAGAAGTTGTATGCAGCAGATGTCGTAGACCCTCCTTTCCCTGTCCCCTTACTTCCCTGTCCTAACCTTTCCCTGTCCTAACCTTTCCCTGTCCTACCATTCCGTCTCCTCCATCCTTACCTCCCCCCCCTCCTTCCTCCCCCTTCCTTCCTTACCTCCCCTTCTCATCCTCCTCCTCCTCCTCCTCATCCTCCTCCTCCTCCTCCATCCTTACCTCCCCCCCCTCCTTCCCTCCCCCATTCCTTCCTTACCTCCCCTCCTTCTTCCCTTTCTCACCTCCCCCCCCTTCCCCTCCTTCCCGCCCTCCACCCATCCCCTGTCCTGCACCGTCCTCCCGCCCGACCGCTCCACGCCGCCGCCGAAAACTCGGCCCCCGCCCCCGCTAGGGAGGCCACGTGCGAACCCTACCCCTACAGTCGGGGCGTTGCCCTAAGGAACCCTAAATAAGGAACGAGGTCCCTTTTTCCCAAAGGTTAAACTTCGATTTCCTCTGAAGAACTTTAAGGAAAACTACGGCAGATTGCACAACAACCAAGGAACACCGAGCCCCTCCCCAACGAAAAGGGTTCCTTCTTCAGGGCCCCGACTGTAACCCCCACGATTTCTGAGGGGGAAGGTGGGGTTCACTTTGTTCGGGGTAGGGTTCGCATGTGGCCCCCTGCCCGCTGCGGGTAGGTCGGGCGTGTCCCCCCACGAACCGACTGTAGATGACAAATTAGAATGAAGGGGCCCTGGGACACACAAATAAATACACACAAGTAAAAGGATTCCCCATATTTTCATATATTTTCTGGGGTTTTGACTTCCCCCCCACACTTCCCATATTTTCCCATAGTTTCCTGGGAGTGGACGATTCACTGTATCTGTATTTTCTCCCCCCCTGATAAAAATAATCCAAACATGCACCAAACATATTTCAACACAGTCTGAAAATAGTTCCCTGACTGCATGTTTTGGCTATCTTTGAATATTCCCCCTGTAGAGGGACAGGCCGCCGCCCCGCCTTAACCCTACCCGCTGCGGCCGCCGTCCCGCACCCTGCCCCACTCGGGCCGGGCGAGAGGAGGGGATAGCAAAAAGGGGGGGTGAGAATCAGCTCGCGCAGCTGATTCTCCCGGCGCCTCCTGGCGCCAGGAGGCGCCCACGTATCGAGGAACGGGCCCGGCGGCCCGGCGGTGGGGCCGAAAACAGCTGCATGCAGCAGATTTCGTACCCCCCCTTTCCCTATCCCCCCCTTTCTTGCCGTCGCTCGGACGTCCATGTCCCGTGCATGTTTCGGTCTCGTGCGTGTTGTTTTCTTTTTGCTCGACTGTCCAGGATGGTCATCGATGGTTCTCGCCGAGAAAACATATGCACACGTCCGAGCGATGCCAAGCTTCTCCTCCGGCCCAGCACTCGGGCTCGGGCATGTCCCCCTACAGCCAAACAGGAAAAACTGGAATGGTCGAACAATATTCAAACATAGCTGGGCACATACTCAACAAAACATTCCCAGGCTATTTGTTCCACTATTTTTGCAGCTTGCTCCCGTAGAGGGACACGCCCGACTCGAACGCAACACTCGGGTTCGGGGGACTCGAGTTGGCCTGGCGGAGCCACCATGGGAATGATGAGACCCCACCGGAAATTGGACGCGAGCTCCCGCTGCAGCCGTCCCACGGAAAAACTGGACCGTCAAGATCCAGGACGCGCTCGTCAAGAAGCCATACATACAGGCGAACCCGAGTTCCCGCGTAGTCTTGCGCTTCCCCGACCAGTCCGCCGAAAGCGGTCCCCGGGCCAGGCCGCCCAGCGGGCCCCAAGAGGCACGAACGGCGCCAACAGAGGAAGGAATTGCGCACAGCAGGAGCTCGACCACGAGAACCCCCCCACGAGAAACCCGACCCCGAGACCCCAGGACGTCCACTGATGTCTGGCGTAGGAGCGCCACGCCTTCCATCGCAAAGCCATCGGATTTCAAGAAACCCAGGGCACCCTTGACACGTCTTCCCAAGGGGACGCCAGCGAAAGGGACTTCTGAGACCGCGGCGTTGCACCTGAGACTTCGAGAAGTGCGAGCGAAGGCGCCGCGCGGCGACCTTGTGGGCGCAGCCGAGCGGACGTGAGAAATCGGAATCGCCCGTCTCAGAAGTCCCCTTCCCTGGGGCCCCACTCTGGAGCCACATGAACCCCGGAGGCATAGAAAAGGGAAACATCAGGAGGGGGACGAGGGAGAGGAGGACAGGGCGGGGAGGAGAGGAGGAGGAGGAGGAGGAGGAGGAGGAGGAGGAGGAGGAGGAGAAGGAGGAGAGGTCGGATTGCTCGGACCTGTGCCGGGCGCCCCCCTCTGGTGGTGCCTCCGGCGCGCCCCCTTGCGCGGCGCCTGTGCGCCCCGCGCGACAGTGCGGGCCCCAGCGCCGATCCGAGAAATCCGCGCGGACATCCTCCCCCTCCTCCTCCACTCCTCCTCCACCTCCTCCCTCCACTTAGTCCTCCTCACCTCTCTCCTAGTCCTCCCTTCCCTCCCCTCCTCTCCTCCTTCCTCCTCTCACCGCCTATTCTTTCTCCTCCGCCTCCTCCTCCTCCTCCTCCTCTTCCTCCTCCTCCTCCTCCTCATCCTCCTCCACCCCCTCCTCCTCCTCCTCCTCCTGGTCCTCTCTTGAGCTCCGCGCGGATCTCTTTGCTCGGCGCCGGGGCCGAGAGAGACAATTCCGCTCACGCAAGTTAGCTCCTCTTCGAGCCAGGGGCGGTTGCCGAGAAGTTTCGCCCGGCCCCTCCTTCGAGGACTCTCGTACGACAGCTCGGGCCGCAGGTGGCCCATTCGGGTCGAGTCCAGCACCCCAGGGTCGCCCGTGGAGCGCACGCTTGAAATCGCGGCCATCACGGGCGTTATGGGGGGGCAGGAGGGAGGAGGAGGAGGAGGAGGAGGAGGAGGAGGAGGAGGAGGAGGAGGAGGAGGAGGAGGAGGCGGACGAGGAGGAGGAAGCGAAGGCCCGTTCCTGGCCACAGAGAGCCTGGGCCACGAGGAGGGTTCCCCGACCTGGACTTGTGCGGTGAGCGTCCCGAACACCCGAGCCCCTCCTAAGAGCCCAGCGGTCCTCGTGTCGGCGCCTGGACTGTCAGTGGCCCCTCCTCGAGTAGGGGCTCGACTACAGGACGGAGCTATCAACAGAAACTGCAGCTTTCCTCGAATCTACGGAGCATGCTCAGAATTCTCCATACCTGTTACGACGGTTCTACGCATTCGCCGTAGCCTCGATGGGGGACATCATCTCGGGGGTAACCCAACTCTGTAGTCGATGCCCTGCTCGACTCCCGGGACCCCGAAGGGTCCTCCGAGAGCTCCGACGAGCCTCGAGCGGCACTCCTCCGAGGAGCCTCGAGCTCCGTCGAGCCTCCGCCGCTCGCCCCCCCCCCCCCCCCC